AACCTTTATCTCCCTGTACTCAATCAAATATCTGATTAAAGCTACTGAACATAATATGTTCATCATTGAAAGGAATCAATCAAATCTAATGCAAGCACTTGGGGCATTTACATATGGTCCTTTATTGTTTTCTTTCTATTTAATCATTCTTTAGGCACACGTTAGCTTGCATTAGTGTTTGGAGGATCAATATTATGCCCTCTGTATGCCATGACATTTTCAAGCCAATAATATGGGGAAGTTTTTATGGGTGAATCTTCAAAGGTTTAGGTTATGGGATAACCCAAATGTTTGGATATTCACCCCTTTCCATGCACTTAAATTTAGGTCACTTGATTGCATTGTCTGGTCGGTTAATTATGTATGTTTTAAGGGTTAACAAATTTTGATTTCAGTTCTATATAACCTAAAGACATTTAAGGACAAAATTTATGGACAATTTTGAGGAATTTAGGAAAATTAAAGAAATTGAAATATACACCCAACAGGGGTGAGATTCAAAACATTAAACATAGGGACATGCCTTACCTAAGTCCATGAGTTTATTGATTTTAATAACCATTCAATCAAGAAATGTAATAAACCCAAAATTAACCCGTTAATTAAGTCTAGAAATTAAAAAATCATAATAAATCTAAATTAAATCATAAAAAAATAATATATTGAATTGACCAGAATTAAACCCCAAACATGGGTAAATTAAAAGCCCTTTGATTTGACTTCAATTCTAAGCCTAATTTATTTTTTAGTATAAATAAATATTTATTTACTTTAATTAATTAAAAATATTTTAAAATTCTAAAAAATCTTAATTACTTGGAAACACTCTCTTATGTTATTTCTAACCTTTTGGAGCTATTCCAAGAAGTTTGGAATCAATTTGGGTCAAAACCACTAAACCCTCCTTAATTAAATGAAATAAAAATTCAATTAATTACATAAACTTTGAAAACTTATAAGTAATTATAGAAAATTCCTAATTAATAAAACTAAAACTCATTCAACTCCACTTAAATCCTAGTATTTTCTAAAATTTCAAACTACCAAAAATGAGTCAAAGTCAAAAAGTCAACTTTTTGATCAAACGTAATTCAAAACTAGGTCAAACTTCAAAAATTTATAACTTAATGTAAACAATTTCAAATCTAGAAAACTTAGAGTCTAATTACTCATCTTAAGGTTTAGTATTTATAAAAATATTAAAAATATATAAATCACTTTAATTTAAAAAGTCAACTTTTAACCCCTTAATTAATGTAATATTTAAATAATCCAAAAATTCTAAAAAATTAATAATATTATAAAATTATAGGAATCATTAACTTGATTAATAAAATTGATCAACCAATCATTAATACATAATAAACACTCTAAATATTAAGTTTTTAAAATGGACTACCTTGAGTTACGGGGCTACGTGTCCTTATGACAACTTAAGTTTTTAAAATGCTAGACTTGGTTCCTCGAGCCCAATATGACAACTTCATGAATGGATTTAATGAAGTGTAAAAAACCTTAAAATTAAATGACTATTAATTTTTTAAATAAATTAAAATATTTAATTTAACTAAATCAACCTAGTATATAGGCTAAAGTACCTCGAGCTATGGGATTAAGTGTCTTAAGGAGGCCTAGTTCCTCGAGCCCACTATAACAATGCTACGAATCGATTGATGAAAATTTTTAATTAATTTAATACTTTAAATTAGTGTTCAATTAATTTAATTCTTTAACTAATTTAAATTAATAATTCTTTAATCTTAATCAACTAAATCAACTTAATCAAATTGGTTGTCATTAGGTTACCTGTGCCTATGAGGCTATTAACTTAGCCCGAAAGAAAGTGAAATAAATTTCACAGCCCTTGTGTAAACAAAGGGGGTAATCAATTAATACTTAAAATATATTTTAAAATCAACATTAATACACTAATACTTAAAGTTAACTTAAAAAATCCTTGAGCCTTCAACAAATTTAAACACTAGACAAATTAAATAAATTACCTAGTTTAGAACATATCCAAGCCATACAACCTTCTACGCACACTTTAGATAGTTTTCCAAGACAACCAACACTAGTTTTAGGCTAAACCAGTTTTTACTTTTTCTGCTGTTATGTGTTGGGGTTTCCATGGTTTTCAATGCATAATGGTAAAAAATTAATTGATTGATGTGATTATTTATTTACTTATGTGATATGTGAATTGAATTGATAGGCGTTAAATTACTACTAGGTTAGGAACAATCTAGATGCTCACTGATTTTTTTGTAGGTTGTCGTGCTCATAAAGGGCTAAATAAAGCTTTAAATTGATAAGTTTTTTGTATGTGCAAAATGCTAAGTCCCTCTTGAAATTAAAAGAGCAAGGCCAAGCATGGATGTGATTGAGATTTAATTATTTTAATATATAATTACTTGGGATGTTGATTTTAAATATAATTACCTAGGTTAACCTTGCACGTTATACTTGATTTTAAATTTTTTAATTTTATGTCTATGTCATTTGATTATAATTGAGTTGTAATGTGAAACTTGAGTTTTGAGTGGGATATTAGATATCCAACCTGAGATCCAAAGAGAAGGGTAACATCCCTAAGGGGAAGAGCTCCTCTTCATTTGAATATTCAGGTTATGATAGTTTGAGATTCCAAAGGGAAAAAACACCCCTTTAACGAGAAGTTTCTTATCATTTGGATATCTGAACTCGATAAATCTAATGAGCTCGTAGAAGGACAAAAAAGTGAAGACTAAGAAGAATATCACATTCTCAAAGTCACTTGTGTTAGTTTTAGGAGAATCTGAATTGTTGTTAGTGGTATCTGACCATTTTTAAATTCTGTAGACCCTGAGTTGTAATACTAAGTGGCACTTGCCACATGGATTTTGAACATATTTAATTAATTTGATTAATTTTTTTTACTTTGATTGTGCAACATAAATTGCATATCTTTTCTAGATTTTTCGATTACATGTCAATTTTGTTTTAGCCTAGATTCGATCAAAGGCTCATGAACTTTTTCTTTTCTATTTAAAATTAAAATTAAAATTTTTAAGCTAATATAAAATTTTAATGACTTTAAGAAGTAAGCCAGAGCATGACCTGAGAGTTTTTATGCATTCATTTTTAAATTAATCCTCCTTATTAGGCACCTCCCCATATGCAGGTTCTAACAAATCACCTTACTTATTAGGGTGCAGTCCTATCAAGGGGATGTTGTGCAATCTTCATAAAAAAAAATCTATTTTTAATCCTTTTTAAAATTGTTTCAAACAAATTTTATGCATTTATAGAGTCAATTTGCATACATTGCATTAGAAACCAATTAAATGGGTATAAAATTTAATTATTTTTTATTTCCAAGCTTTAAATTACCCTATGTGTTAAGGGGCCAATTAGGATATGTTCTAGATGTTAGCGCTGATTCCTCAAACTTAACTAAACAATGTTCCGACCACTCTTGCATAAAAGATTGAACTCATGATTTTAAAGCGCCTAGGTGGTTAACTGACTCTCCAATCCAGGCCAGGATAAGTCCAGGTTTTGCCCTACATTAGCTAGTTTTGGGCTACTGCCATTCAGTGCCCAATTTAAATTTAGGATTTGGGACAAACTCAAAAATTTAAATCCCCACCTTCAGGGAATATAATCCCAAATTTTCAATAAAATTATCAACTTAAATTTAAATCTCTTTCAAATCAAAATTTAAGCCCAATATGTAGGATGTGTTGGGCTATTTTCTGAAGAGTTTCAGAATCCTAAAATACCTCCTACGTTTCTTCTTTTAATTTCTAGAAATAAGTGTTAAAAAATTTATCTATTCCCACTTGAAATTTCAACTTCAAATCTCTGATATCAATCATTGAGAAATTTTAGATAAAATTTTCACATTATTTTATTCAAGAATTTTCGTAGGAAACTTCAGTTTCCTATAATGTAATTAATTACTAGGGTTTGCGCTAGTCGGAGATTTTGAACCAAGAGCAATTATCAAAATTAAGTTTTTAAAATTTATTTAATTATCTTTGAGAAAAATCAAAGTTAAGAAACACTATCATCATATTCATAGTTTTTATTATTATTAGGGAGGTTTAGATACATACCCAAGGTTGTGAAAATCGGACCATACAACGAACCGAAAGAATGAGAGGTTTATGATTCGACCGGTTCGACCTGTCAAACTAGGGTCGAACCGGATGACGTAATAAATAATAATATTATTAAAAGTTAATAAAATTAATATAATATAATATAGGTATATGAGCAATTAATAATATTTATAAAATTTTAAAATATATAATAAAATTTTATACATATAAATATCATTTAAGAATAATATATTTATAAGAATAATATTTAATATAATATATAAATTATAATAATAAAATTCTATATTAGAATTCGTATAATAATGTTACAGCAAATTTATAATACATATTACCCAAATTTGTAGCCCAACTAAGCCCAATTTTGAAGTCCAACTAGCCCAAATTCACATTCTAAACTATTCATGCAACTTTTTTAGTTCCACATCATGGGAGGAGTTTGAGGATGTTGCTTTGAACCTTTTATAAAGTGTGAAGTACACTCTTTTTACTAAACGAATTATATGAGTTATTTAAGATAACTTGCATATAATATGGTGAAATTAATAATCATATTTAATAAAAGTATTTTAAACAGTTAAAAGATTTTTAATTGATTAAAATATATTATTTAAAATTTAATTAAAATAAAAATAAATTTTTTGTATAAATTGTCCGATTCTTTCCAACCACGGACCGATTCAGTGGTTCACCGGTTGAACCGCCGATTCAGTTCGGTTTGATCCAGTCTGATGCAGAGCCGGTTTTGTAAGCTGGATTGGACCGGCCACCAGACTGGTTCACAATTGAACTCGCCAGTCCGATCCGATTTTCAAAACAGTGTACATACCACCATATACTACATTATTATTATTATTATTATTATTATTATTATTATTATTATTATTATATACAGATCTTAAAATCTTTCGCATGAGTGATAAGCAAAAATTATTTTCATTAATCTTAAAGCCAGTAAATTCATGCGAGTATATCGGCGCTTCATAATTCCATGCCATGACGATTCCTGCTTTCGATTTTTTATTTTCCTGCAAGAACTGAGAACTGCCCAAAAATTGGAAACCATGAAGAAGCTCCTCCGTCGACCTCCACTACCTGCGACCAAAACTTCTGCACCCGCTACCATTCCCTTAAAATTCGAATCTATTTCCTCTATCGCTGCCATTGACACTGAGTCTTTGGCGGAGGCCGGGGAAGAAAAGTTTGTCTCTGTCATCGTTCGGGACAAAGACTTGCTTCGAAGTAGCTGCAAATCCCTTAGCGGGCTTCAAGTCCTTGACCTCATGGACACTGGCTCCCTCGAAGCCAGCACTGGAATCTACTCCCAGCTCTTAAGGAGTTGTACCCAGTTAAAGAAGATCAAAGAAGGAAGATTGGTTCACTCCCATTTCCTTGGTTCCAAATTCAAGTCTGATATTTTTTTCCAGAACTCAATTATCAATTTCTACTGCAAATGCAACAGCTTGGATGATGCCCGCAAAGCGTTCGAGGGAATGCCGCTAAAGGATGTGGTTTCGTGGACTGCACTTATGTCTGGTTACACACAAAATGACCAACCCAAGGAGGCGCTGGCATTGTTTCCCAGAATGATTTGGTCAGAATGCAAACCTAATAATTTCACCTTTGCAACCCTTTTGAATGCTTGTGGTACCACCGCTGAGGTTAATACAGGGATGGAGATCCATGCTTCCTGCGTCAAAACTGGTTGTGATATTGATGTTTATGTGGGAAGTTCTCTCTTGGATATGTATGCTCGCCATGGAAAAATGAGTGAAGCTTTTGCGGCATTTGATAGGTTAGATTCTAAAAATGAAGTGTCATGGAATGCCTTGATTGCTGGATATGCGAGGAAACAGGACCAAAACAGCGCCATTGGGATGTTTGTGGATATGCAGAGGTGTGGGTTTCTTGCAACCCGCTTCACATATTCTAGTATTTTTAGTGTTTGTGCAAGTAACGGATCTTTGGAGCAAGGGAAATGGGTTCATGCCCATATGATAAAGCGTGGTCATAAACTAAATGTTTTTGTTGGCAATACGCTTCTAGATATGTACGCTAAAGCAGGAAGCATTGAGGATGCTAGAAAAGTTTTCAGTCGATTGGAAAAAAAGGATGTTGTTTCTTGGAATTCTATGCTTACAGGTTGTGCTCAGCATGGACTAAGCAAGGAGGCTGTTCAACGATTTGATAAGATGCTCAAACATGGAGTCAAGCCTAATCAGATAACTTTTCTCTGTGTTCTTAATGCTTGCAGTCATGGTGGTTTGCTCAAAGAATGGGAATATTACTTCAACTTGATGAAGGAATATAAGGTGGAGCCTGAAATTGAGCATTATGTAGCAGTTGTGGATCTGCTTGGCCGTGCTGGCCTTTTTGAACGAGCGCAAAAGTTCATAGATGAAATGCCTCTTGACCCAACTGCTGCCATCTGGGGAGCTCTGCTTGGAGCTTGTAGAATGCACAAGAATGTGGAATTAGGGCAGCTTGCTGCTGAACGTGTATTTGAGCTCGACCCACATGATGCAGGTCCTCATTTGCTGCTCTATAACATCTATGCTTCAGCCAGCAGATGGAATGATGCTGCGAAGGTAAGGAAGATGATGAGAGAGAGTGGGCTGAAAAAGGAGCCTGCTTGCAGTTGGCTGGAGATTGAAAACTCTGTTCACTTGTTTGTGGCAAATGAAAATTGTCACCCACAAATAAAAGAGATAGAACAGATGTGGGAAAAGATAAATGGAAGGATTAGAGAAGAGGGCTATGTTCCAGATACAAACTTTGTGCTTATGCATGTGGATGAGCAAGAGAGAGAGTCAAAGCTACAGTATCATAGTGAGAAGCTTGCTCTTGCTTTTGCTCTTTTGAAATTACCTTCTGGGGTAACCGTCAGGATAAAGAAGAATATTAGGATATGTGGAGATTGTCATTCTGCAATAAAGCTGGTATCCAAGGTAATAAATAGGGAGATTATTATAAGAGATGCACATCGGTTTCACCACTTTACTGCAGGCAAATGTTCTTGTGGGGACTACTGGTGATTCAAGTAAACCCTTGTTGAGCCTTGAAATTCATTGGACAGATATGTGGGGAAGCTGCACTCCGTTTGCTTTTCACTGGAAAAAAAAAGATTTGAACAGTTGCACAAAAGATTAATAGATATTTCATGCAGACACAGTGGGCTATGTGTACAAGAGGAATATCATACATCTAAAAGTCAGCGAATTTTCTTCTTCCTTAGGTTTGTAAGTTCTTACATTTATGATTAAATTCTAGTTGTCTTGCATCCTGTCTTAAACTATATTTGCTATTTGATATTATGTTCATCTTTTCCATATTTGCCAGCATTTGTAGGTTCCAGCTACTGTTTTGTTGGAATGCAGATATTTGGCTTCTGAAAAAGTTCACTGTACCAACCCCTCTTCAATCAGAAAAGGTTAATGGTATAGGTCTACTTCTATCTAGATTTTATTCAGCTAGATGAAAATGCCTTTTCCCCTTATTTTGATTACTTTCTTGCAATTGCTGTGGTACGAATCAGGATGAGAAACTGCAGAACCGACTACTTGATTTTCTTACTGAAAGATGCAGGGTAATAATCCAAAAAAAAAAGGTTTTGAGATGACTCAGATGGCTAACCTAGGCCAACCCTGCAGGGAAGAATCCCAGCTTCCTTCTAAATATTATGGAGCAGCGCGTTAAATTTTTTCTCCACTATTTTGCAAGGGAAAGAACGAGTGTGGACTGCAAGAAAAGAACGAGTGTGCGAATTAATGTTATTGAAGAGTCAATATATATTTTGCTGAGCTTAATATTTTCACCAGAGAAACCTATCGTGGAGGAAACTAGAACAGAATTGTGTTCACCTAGATGGTTCACGCATTCACTCAAATGCATTCTTCAATTATTTATATGTCGAATACAGTGAAGGAGGCATGCTTATGTAAATCAACTATAGAAATTTTATGTTAAATGATAATTTTTTGAAAGTTCATTTATTCTCTCAACTATAATTATTGTGTTTTACCTTTTTATTTATGTTGTATTTTTATTCATTTTGATGTTTTTTGAATTTGTACACAGTATGTGTACAAGAAAAAATTTTTGAAATGTATTTTTTTTCCTCATACGCACACTATGTATTGCATGTGAAAAGCTTAGATATAATAATATCAAAGATTTATGATGTGTTTTTGTTCATTTTGATGGTTTTTGCACTTATACACATTGATGTACAACATTAAAATTTATTCTTTTTTATGTTTTTTGAAAAGATTAGATGATATAAATGGAGAAATTTATAAGCACTTTTTGTACTTTTATACACATTGTGTGTACAAGCTTGTACACACACTATGTATAACTTGTACATAATGTGTATATAAGGGGAATCTAAACATTTTGTGTATATTTATGCAAGTGTGTACAAGGAGAATTTAAAAGCACTTTGTGTACAATTGTACACAGTTTGTGTACAAGAGAGATCTATATGATTTGTGTACACTTGTGCACATTGTGTACAAAAAGAATTTATAAGCCGTTTGTGTACACCCGTATAGAGTGTGAGTACAAGGGAAATGTGTACACTTTCTATACACTTATACACAGTGTATGTAAACACTTTGTGTACACTTGTATATAGTGTGTATAAAAAAAATTAGTACACTTTGTGTACAAATTTACTCATTGTGTATCAGGATAATTTATATGCACTTTATATATACTTGTACATAGTGTGTACAAGTTTTGTATGGGAGTTTACTGAAGCAGATATTGTAGTGATGAATCCATGTTTTAGAGGATGATTCATTTGCATACAAGTGTTCAAATGCTAAAAAAAAAGTGTTCAAATGCTATATGCAAACATATGGTTATGCCAAGTTCTGAGTGCACACATATTTGTCTTACCAAATTCAAAGATTTAATATAAATTATTTATAATTTTGTTTAATTTTTAAGTATTATAAAAATATTCTAATAAGCTTGTTAATTGCGCAAAATGATATATATAGCAATTTAATTATATAAATTTAAATATTTTGTGAGGTTGTATTTTATGATGTGGATTATGACATATCGAATTATAGTTATTAATCATGTTAACTAATTGGATTCATTTATGGATTATATAATATAATGAATATTATATACTATACACAGTGTGTGTACAAAATTGTACACAGTCTGTATACAAATGTACACAAAAATGTGTATAAGTTTATACATACCGTATATATAAGTGTACATAAAGTGTGTGTACAAGCTTGAACATACACTGTGTATAAGTTATAAACAAGGTGTGTACAAGTTTATACACATTCTGTATTCAAGCTTATACACATCGTGTATACAAGTGTATACAAAGTGTATAAATTTACGAGAATTTAAGTAATAATGGATTAGTGTAGACATGTACATAGTGTGTGTACAAATTGTACACAGGAAAATTTATATGCAGTGAAACTCTTTCCAAAAGCAGCTATACAAACAAAAACAATAGCAAGTTATGTGTCGTCTGCATAAACATTTGTATCAAGTCCAACATGAAAACAGGAAGTTAAAAATATTATTTGTGGAGCTAATATATAACTTCTTACTTACTAAAGCAATCATAGGAACATTTGGGTGAATTGGAAATTTCTTTATGCATTTAATTAGTTTGTAGATTTCAAGCATTTGAAAGTCAAACAACTTGATATTCAGCAAATCCAAACAATTTGGAATATCACTTGGCTGGGATAAATATGTGATAGGAAGTACTTGAGTTCGCAAGTAACCCTAAGGTAATACTTGAGTTCGCAAGCAAACCTAATCGAAATTAGTAAGAAAACAGAGAGAAAATTGCTGTTTACAGCAGTTAATTAATCAGCCCAAATGTAGTAGGTTTTGTGTTTCCTGTGGAAACAATAAGAAACTTGGGGAAAAACAAAAGATTTCACTAGTAGATGCGAGAAAACAATAAAAGATACATGTTTCTTTAATTTGAGAGGAAGAAACAACTCTCTGATTCTCTAGCCAAGCCTAGAGCCCAAGCACACAAACCTTAGATCTCAAATCTCTCTCAAATTCAAGATGAAACCCTGCTTCTTATAATAATCCCTAATTAAAGACAAAGGAAGATTACAAATTCTCTAAACAACCTCTAATTCAAATGTTTCTCTCCAAACAAGCATTAATCAAGGTGTGGGGCCAAAGGGAGTCGCTGACCCCCTCTCTCCTCCTTGCTTGGGCCAATGGTGGTAAACCCAAACCGGTCCACTAGGGATCGGTTCAGGAGCAATAGTCGGCCCCTCCTGGGCTAGCGTAATATTGCTACCCTCCCAAAAACTCACCTTGTCCTCAAGGTGAAAATAAGGGAACTACTGCTTCACAATCTCATAGGGCTCCCAAGTAGCCTCGTAGTCGAGGAGATCCTTCCATCTGATCAACACCTCTTTGTTTCCTTTTTTATCAAATCTTACCCCTTCTAGCTCCAGGGGTTCGATGACTATCTCCAAATCCTCTGTCAATGTTGCTAATAACTCAGCACTAACTATATGCTCCCCTAGAGCTCTCCTCAGCTGTGACACATGAAACACCGGGTGTATGGTAGCAAATGAGGGTAACTTTAGATGATACGCCACTACTCCAATCTTCTCCAGAATCTCATAGGGACCAAAGTAACTCGGGGCCAATTTCTCGTTCATCCTGTTAGCCACTGACTTCTGCCTATAGGGCCTTAGCTTCAAGAACATCTTCTCCCCCACTTCATATTATATGTCTTTCCTATGGGTATATGCTCGCTTCTTCATGATTTATTGTGCCCTTTTAAGATGTTTCTTTAACTCCTCCAACACCTGGTCTCTCTCCTCTAAGTATTGTTTAATTGAAGAGACCGGTGTGTTTCCCCTCAAATAATGCACTAAGTGTGGGGGGTCTCTTCCATAGAGCAATTTGAAAGGGGCCATTTGGGATGCAGAATGGTACGAAGTAATATACTAATACTCCGCCCATGGTAACCATTTAGCCCACTTCCATGGTGTTTCAGAAGCAAAACACCTCAACTATGTCTCCAAGATCCGGTTCACCACCTCTGTCTGTCCGTCTGTCTATGGATGATAGGGGGTACTTCTCTTGAGAACAGTGCCCTGCATTCTGAAAAGTTCCCTCCAAAATTGACTAAAGAAAACTTTTTCTCTATCAAACACAATTGATTCAGGAATCCCGTGTAATCTAACTGCTTTCCTGATAAATGATACTACCACTGATACCGCGGTGTATGGATAATATAGGAGGATGAAATGTGTATACTTACGAAGTCGATCCACCACTACCAAATTGATTATGAATCCCTCTGAGCGGGGTAGGCCGTCAATGAATTCCATGGACACTTCCTCCCATACTCTATTTGGAAGTGCCAATGGTTGGAGACCCTTCTGGTTAGGGCTGCAAACCAGCCGAGCCGAGCCGAGTATGTGAGTGTTCATGTTTGAGTTCGTTTATCATTAGCTTGTTCAAGTTTGGTTCATGTTTGATTGGAGCTTTATTGTTTGTGTTCATGTTTGGTTCGTTTAATTTAAGGATGTTCTTATTGGTTCATGTTCGGTTCATGTTCGGTTCGTTTAATGTTTGTCGAGCTTTAAACAAACAAGCATTAATGAGCTATGTTCGTGAATATGATTAACAAATAATATATTAAATAAATAAACATTAAATTTGTTCATTAACATCTTAAACAAACAATCTAGCAAACATGGACAAATGTGGAATATCTTTTATTCAAAAAATTAAATTAATAATAAAAACAGCTGTCTATTTAAAATGAAAATATGATTAATCTATATGAATATATTCTTAAATGAAGCTTACCTGTTGCATTTCTCTTCATTCGAGCTTTTATCGAGCTTAATGCCGAGCTTCTTCACGAACTTCAAATGATGTTGTTCGTGAACATAAATGAACCAAACACATTAGTGTTCAAGCTTGTTTATTTAAGGATCGAGTATTTAAAATGTTGTTCAAGTTTGTTTGTTTAGTTAGTTAAACGATCACAAATGAGTTTTAATCAAACCGAGTATCGAGTAGCTCATCGAACGCTTGGTTTGTTTGCAGCCCTACTCCTGGTGCCATTTCCATGTATTTATTTCTTTTGCACACCTTGCCACCATCTCCTCCACATCCCTATACATCCACTTCCAGTAAAGCTCTAATGCTAGCCTTCTATATGTCTTTTGTACTCCTGAATGTCCCCCAACTGCATTGCCGTCAAATTCCTGTAATAAGTGAAGAATGTGTACTGATGTTTGTGGTATCACATACCTCCCTTGATGCAACAACCTCTTTGCCTCCAAATAGTACCCCGAATGGCTAGTACTATCCTTCTTTAAATCTTCCCTGGTCTTCTTCAGCTCCTCGTTCTGCATGCTCTCTTCCTTAATAGCTCCCCAGTCAACAATCAGTGGTACTGAAACTGTAAACTCCTGAAGTTCCCCAATACATCTAGATAAGGCATCAGCCACCTTATTTTCTAATCTTGTCTGATATTGGATCTCAAAATCATAGCCTAAAAGCTTTGATAACCACCTCTGATGCTCCTCGGTCACCATCCTTTGCTCCAACAAGTATTTCAAACTTCGTTGATCCGTACGAATAATAAAATACCTACCCAAAATATAAGGGTGTCATTTCTGAATGGCTAAGACGATGACCATCAGCTCTCTCTCATACACTCACTTCAATCAAGCCCTGGTCTATAGAACATGACTGAAATAAGCTATAGGCCTATGATTCTGCATCAACACTGCTCCCAAGCCATACCCTGATGCATCGGTCTCCATTATAAAGATCTGACTGAAATCTAGAAGAGCTAACACTGGGACCATCATCATGGCCATCTTTAACCTTTCAAAAGCCTTAGTCGCTGCCACTCCCACAAAAGATGTCCTTCTTCAGTTGCTTAGTCAACGGCCAAGCGATGGAACTATACTCCATCACAAACCTCCTGTAGTAACCAGT